ACAATTGTTTCATAATCAATGAATTTGCAATTAAGAAATAATCAAGGGGCTGTCCCGATACTTCCCACCCCTCTCGCGAGATTTCCTGCCGTTGGCATGGCAAGTGCTTTACCAAGCTTTCCTTTAGGTCACGCTGTCCCGCTTTCTTATGCTCACATGTCGAACCGCCGGGCATCTGTATCTCATCGTGTAGATTGGCGTGCACACTTGGAGTGGAATACTAACTTGTATTCTGCAGGAAGGTGGCACAAGAGACAACTCCGTCATCTTACAATTGCGAGGTGTTGATCAACAACCTCTTCAACCAGGTATGGACCCCCTCACTGTTCGAGGAGTGATTTATGAAATTGTTCATTTACCTTATGGTCGTTTTTATGTTGGACAGATGATGCATTCTGCACACCAAAGGCTGCTAGAGCATTGGCATACGCGACACTCTTCTGCTGTTTTTCACCATCGCCATTTCCATCGCACAATGAGTGGGCAACCAGCATTCAACTTTGCGGCTTGGCCCCTAGAATGCATCGATCCTACCCTGTATCATACGTCTGGAGGTCTTGTTGATCATGGCCTCTTTCGGAGGGCTGCTGCACCCCGCGAGGGTTTTTGGGTTCGAAAACTTCGAACGCTTCACCCAGTCGGTTTCAATGCAGTCCTTCCAATGGCTAGATTGCCATCTCCATGGTGGCATTTACGTCCTTCCCGATGGACACAAATGGGCCCTCAGTCATTCGTTCCTCAATCCCCTTTTGCTCAACCCTCGCTTGCTTCACCTATTCCTGCATCAGCTAATCCTCCTCACACATCACCCCTTTTGCCAACACCCGTTGGCTCCCATGTTGCACCCCTTTTGCCAACACCCGTTGGCTCCCATGTTGCACCTCTTTTGCCAACACCCTCTCGGCCTTTACCTCTCCTCCCAACGTCTTCGCCTCTGTCATTTGCTATTGATCTTCGTCCAGGTCCCCAACTCGTAATTCGTACCTCACTCCATCGCCTTCTTMATGAAGCTGCTTCGGGTAACTGGTGTCGTGTCATGGCTGACATTGAGCGGGCACAACCAGCGTGGCGGGCACGACTTTTGCAATGACTTTATAACAATGTTTCCAATGCGGACATGACAGCAGACATTCGAGAACTCGAATGCCTCATTCGAAAATCCCAGCATACCTGCCAACGTTACACAACACAACCTTGTGACCCATTTACGGACCATATTAAGGTCGTACATGTGCACGAGGTAGTTCGTGCCACGAACTTGCGCCATGTGTTGCAGTTGCCAGAAGTAGCTACATTGCACCCTGACCCTCAAGCGGCCGCACATGTTCGTGTATGTGACAAGTTGATGCCACCCACACRTGTCCAATTTTGCAACTTTACTGATGTGGCATTGAGTGTTGCTCCTGACATGACCGTACCAGATTCCTTGAACTGCGAATGCCGCAAGGCCTTTCCGCATTGTTCAGATCTTGTGGATGACTATGTTGTCTCTGTTGATTACAATATCATCTCAGACGATAACCTTCACAAGCTTGTTCAAGAAGGTTCTAAATACCGTCTGAACGGGGAGACTGCTGATGTGCTCCAAGCACTGGCGATCGGACTSGATGAGTACATTGCCAGTTACAAGAACACTTTTGCTAGACACTCTCGATCTGCTTCTTTCTCGTCCCTTTCTCAGAAATTGCACAACTGGCGTTCTGCAATCCTTGGGAATTGTCAATCCAATGCGACTTCGTCTTCCAATCATGTGAGCCARCAACATTCACTTCGTTGTGCACATGCCTCCTTACGCCATCTGCAACAACACTTCGCCATTGTCCCTGTGGACAAATCATCCCACAATTTGGCAATTTGTTGCAAGAATTGGTATTTGTTTCACCTCTCTACCCATTTGGACAGTCCCACTTATACTCGTCCTCATGAATCCGTTGCTGATGTGCTCAACCACCATGCACTATGGAATCACCATTGGGGTTATACCCACACTGATACCCTGCCTTACCTATACTATGTGTTGAAATCCCACAAGTCTCCTACAGCTCTTCGTAGCATTCTTGGAGTCACAACGCATAATACTTGTCCTGTCCCCCCACGCACTCACTCTCGTCCTTCAATTCGCACCATTCATGAACGACCTCCTCACAAACCCTTGGCTAGCACAACGGCTACTTCGCCCTGTCACAGCACTGCTTTGCAAGGTGTGATCTCTACTCTTCGTGAGAAAGACACTGAGCTCTATCAACAGGAAGGTGTTTTACGGTGCTGGATCGTCCAGAGTGCCGATGAGGTGGCGATTGACCTGAAAAACAATGTGTCCTCTCTACGTGGCCTATCTCCTCGCACGGTTGATTTCACCACAATGTACACCAACCTTCCTCATGACTGCATTCTGAATAATGTGGCAAAGGCTGTTGATGAAGCTCATGCTTATGCCCTTCAACATACCCTCATGCATTCGCGCTGCAGAGCCTTGAACATGTTTATTCGCGGGCCTCGCTCTGGTCAATGGACAACCGATTCAGGACCGGACAACCTTTCCGTTTCTCAGATTCTCCAACATCTTCGCTTTGTTGTAGAAAACACTTTTTTGTACACTAGAGATGGTACTCTTCGAAAGCAAATCATTGATATTCCAATGGGAACAAATGCTGGCCCAGAAATCTCCAATCTAACGCTCTATTGGGATGAAGCACGCTTTATTGATGACATTCGTCAACATGATCCCCAAGCTGCTCAGCGATATGCCTTCTCTTATCGCCTCAATGATGATGTTCTTTCATGGGGGCAATTACCTCCTTCAGAGCATTATGGGCTCGAGTGGAAGGAAACTACGGCTACAGATGGCTCGTGTACCTTTTTAGGTATGCATCTACGGGTACGTTATGATGGTTCGCTTCGCATGAGCGTGTTTGATAAAGCGGCTACTTGGGATTTCCCTGTTATTCGCTATCCAAGTGCTACCTCCAACATCCCTTCCCATCAACCGGCCGGTGTGTTCATTGGGCAATTGACCAGATTTGAACGCATYTGCAATAATTGGCAGGACTTCCGAACTGCAGCGACAACACTCACTCGTCGCATGCTTTCTCGTGGCCATTCCCAACCAACCCTCGCTAAAGGACGGACCTGCTACACACGTTCCCGCCAACGTCGCTATCCTACACACGTCACCCGTCTCTCTCAGTGGTTTCGACGCATGCTACGATGGTCCTTGCATCACCCACTTTCTTCTTTATCCCCACATCGCTCTCGTCCTGTCACTGCTTGTTCATCTGCTGCTAATGCAGTTCCCACTGTTGCGGTTCCCACCGCCGCCGCTTCCACCGCCGTGGTCTCCACTGCTGCTGTTTCGACTCCGGGTTTCACCCCAGCAGTTTCTGCTACGGAAGTTGCCTCCGCTGCGGTCACTGCTACGGAAGTTGCCTCTGCTGCGGTTCCTGCTACAACAGTTGTCTTTGCTGTGGTTCCACTTTTTACCACTGCGGTTCCTGCTACAACAGTTGTCTCTGCTGCGGTTCCACTTTTTACCACTTCCTCTGGTTCTGTAGCTCGAATTTCTCATGCTATAGTTTTTACTGGTATAGCTTCCTCTACCCCAGCCCGACACTCGCGTCCTATGTTCCGACATCTTGCCGAATCCACCCCCCTTTCATCCCTTTCTGTGCTTGGCCGCAGACGGTTGCGTTCCTCCTCGCCACCCCCATCTCCTCCACGGTCTCGTTTGAGAACCGATTCTCCGGTTTCTATTCTTCCCATTGTTCCGCCTTCATTGCCAGTGACATCCTCATCTTCTGTTAGAAACATCGCCACTCCTCTTATTGTGTATCATCGTCGACGACATGCATAACATCGCCACTTGGCCAGGGATCAACGGCCTGCTTCTTTGTCTACCCCAATTTTCTCTGTGCCTTCTCCACAGGTTGTTGCGGTTCCGTTATCCCAAATGGATACACCCGCTCCTATGCCTCCTGCAGACAGTCCAGCTGCTTGCACACAGCCACAACACCATGTTTTATGCCCTTCCATGTTCGTTTGTCCCCCAGCTGTACAACATGCGGCCCCGAACGCTGAGGGTCTGGAACATGATCAGCTCGGACTGCATTTAACCCTGTAAGGCATAGACCACACAGGGGATTTGCAAATGGCTGACCAGGATCATATGGATGAACCGCATACTTGTGCCCCACCCTGTGTGGCCCTGACCTACAGCCAGAGCATCGCAATTACACCAGGGAAGGAGGTTTTACCATTGCTGTCCTAGAAATAGCGATGAGGAACCGCCAGCTTGAACTACGCCATGCTCTACCAGGTGAGTTGTTTAATCCTCCATCCCACATCTCTGCCTGCATTGGGCACGGGCCTGGCCATTACATGGCTATTGTACACGCCTCTGACCATTGGGAGGTGTGGAACGACGGTGTCATGGTCCATGCCATGATTGATATTACTGATTTCTTACTCTATGATGTTGTTCTCTTGCCACATCAAACTGTCCGCAATCTCCTTTATGTGGAAGATCATTCCTCTGACACCGCAGTGCAGCAGTACAATGTACACACAGTATGTGACCTTCTCCTTTGTACAGCCACAGACACTGTTGCACTTGGGTGTACTCGCCATCATCTTTGTCACAATCACTACCATGAGATGGTTTCTGCATCCATGTGTGTACAGGATTGTCCCTCCGTTCCTGACTGCAGGCACCCTCCTCATCCGGACACTATATGTCCATTTTGTGGCCACAGACGCTATGCTGAATGCATGCTCTTTTGTGGGGG